TCTCGGATCTGTGCTTTTTACTCGAAATTGTAATATATACTTGGAAAATTTTTCTGATGCTTCTATTTAGTGGAAGTTTGCGACTTTTTTCTTTTGAAAATAAGGCATTAGTTAAAATTAAATAAGAAAAAACAATAATTAAGTATATCCTTAAGAATGTTGAATTACGTTGAGATTGGGAAGTTACATTCACAAGTTATAAAATCCCATATATCTGTAGATCAACCTATTAACAAGGCTATGTATATATAGATGCTTTAGGGAAAAGGACGAGTGGTTGAGCTATTAAAATTAAATCTCTTATATATCATTAATAAAAAAAATCTATTATATAGATGCTTTAGGGAAAATGATGCTGTTTTATGCTTTAAGTTTCTATTGATTAAGTAAATAGAACAAAAAAGCGAATGAAATAAATAAAACAAAAAAAAGTAAAAAAACTGAAAAACTGAGATGATAACAATGAAAAAAATAATTTATATATAGCACCCTGCTAACTATAAATAAGAAAATATAAAAGACTAATTTAAAGTTTTAATCCTACATCTACTAAGATAATTTATTTTATCAAGATCATATGAAAATACAAAAAAAATCTAAAACAAATAGTCAAACCAAATCAAACAGAATCTCGTGATTCCATCTGTACTCTTCTCCTGTGGAGGCTTCACCACGTTAATCAATTTCTGTTCATATTTAATTCTTGTTTCCTTCTGATACGTCATTAATAAAATCATATATTGATGGAACCCTGCAACACAAGGCATTTAATACAAAGATCTAAATCATTAAGCTGTGGGTGGGAGCTCTTCCTCTCTGATGTGGAATGGAGGTTATGATCAAGGCACTCAAGACATGTAAACTATCTATCTCCGTAGGTGAGAACTTAATTGAGAAGCAATATATATGTATATCATCAGAATAATTCAATTCAATTTTATTAGTAATATCTTGAAAGGGATGCTCATCATAAATTGCCTCATTTCTTCTTCTTTATTTCTTTTTTTTTGGGATTTGGATGATGGGCATAGAGCCTGATTAATAGCTGCGGAACAAGCTCCTAGAGCCACCATGGGCACATCTTGTCCCTATACCACTAGATTACCGGTACCACAAGATTAAGGAAGAGTTTGGGTGAAAACAAAATTATAATTTTAAAAATAATTTCACGATATATGCGAAATAAATATATAAAAAAAAGTTTGTCTTGATTAGCATAAAAACACTTTTTAAAAATGTTTCTTGTTTCACCTAAACACTGCCTAGATACTTTTAGGCTAAGGGGGTGTTTAAGTGATTGTCCAAACCATGGTTTGGGAAACCAAACCATCGTTTACAGAAAAAATTACCCAAACACCTATATAAAATCAGTAATCATGGTTTTGGCTTCAAAATCATGGTTTTGTGAGACGCTTTTTGAACCTGCTTCTGGGAAAATGATAGAAGAGTGTCAAATGGTTTGCTTTCAGATATGAGATTTGTTTTTTTGACCAGACACATATACCTCTCAATTATTCATTTCTCTTCCGCCTTCGGTCCTTTGCTCCTAGCAAATTAATATTTTTCTATTAGAAAAAAAATCATTTTTATAAACATATTTAATTTTATAATTTATAAATATATATATACACATATTAATTAATTATTAATTATATTATCTTATATATTATTAATTATGTTAATAAAAATTATTTTATTAACAATTTTATTTTTTCAAATTAAAATATATTATAAAATCTATCCTTTATATAATTATCATATTAACTTATACCATTTTTAGTAATTTGTATATGTAAAAAGTGCTTCTGATAACAATTATCTAAACACTCTCATTTTATCAGAATCAATTTTTCACAAAATCTATTCTTCACAAAATTTATTTTTCTTAGAATCTATTTTTCAAAAGCTATTTTTTAAACTATAGTTTGGTTTCATCCAAATATTTTTTAAATTGCCGTATTTATGGTTATCCAACTGACAGGTCGTTGCACAATCAATGAACACATGGTGTGTGAACTTTAAGAGCAGTGATGTGAAATTAATTAACACCAGATTTTGCAGATAGAAACAACTATGCAGTGATGGCATCCAGACAAAATGTCCTCTCCTTTACAAAGGAATGTAAACATTACAGCGGATATCCCATGTCTTTTACAATAACCCAATTTTTCAGTTTTTTTTTTAGGAGAATTATTACAAGGTCCCAAGCAAGTGAGCATTTTAAATGTGTCGTCATTTCCTGTTTCATTCGGACCTAACAATAATTCCTCCTATTTTTTATTTTAATCATTAGCTAAAATTATAGATGTTTTGATATATAATTACTGTGATTGAACTGCGCGGTTTTGTATTTTTTAACAATTTTTTTAAAAAAATAGTCCAAAATTGTGTAGTTTTGATTTATTTTCTCTGAGAAATCATTAAAAAAAAAGCAAAATCAAAACAGTCCTTAGCAAGGTTTGAAGTTATCATTACAATATGTATATATATATATATATATATAGAGTAGCTACAGGTTAATTAATAAAGCCATTAAATTAAATCATAGGGAGCATCCTAAATAGTTTACATAATTAGTTTAGCATATACGGAAAAATTACCGAGGACACGCGTACAATTATCTATCATATATTTGAAATCAAGATTTTACTAAGAAAAAACTATCAAATCCATGGAAAATTCTTTCTAGTTGTACCTCAATTGCGTCTTTTTCAAAAAAGCTGGATCTTGAATTGAGTTTTACATTTTCGGATTGATCGATCTCTTGCTTTGAAAGGTTAAAACAGCGTAAACCACACACACAAACACACACACACACACACACATTTGGCTCATCTTTTGTGTTTCTTTGAGCTTGGGTTATTTTATTATTAATTAACACATTCTATACATTTTCCCCATCTTCTACATTTGCTCTTCATTATTTTTCAAAAAAAGAGATGTATAAAGGAACACATAATTAGCCTTACTGTTTAAATTGTTGATGTTATATTATACTGCCTGTGCTATTTAACATAATACTTCATTTAATTTTTATTTTAGTTTTAAATATAAGACCGTAATCTACTTTATTTCTAATATTTATTTATTTTTTTAAGATAATCCTTTTAATAATGATAGCTCTAGCCAATAAATTTGATTAGCAAAGATATTTTAAAAAAGATGATACATATTTATTACAAATAAATAACGTAATTTATTTTCTTAATTTACTAAAATTAGTTAACTAGTTCTCAGGAGTGGAGATAGTATCGCCTATCTAAATGCTGTTATGTGTTCCCGCCATTATTTTCTGTAATCTTATAGTCTGAATCCTGAGAGTTAGAGATCCGAGTGTAAGAAACGGGATTTAAATTCATTACACAAAGAAAAAGGTTTTAATAAAACTGACATTACAGAGAATTTTAGAGATATCAAGTAGGTTTTACTGCTCCTACAAAGAACAGGTCCCCCCCCCCCTTTGGTTCCAGGGTAGAGTTGGAGAAAATTTTTTCTAGAAATTCTTGCAGTTTCGCAGTTCCCCGAAAAATTATTAACAAGGGAATTTTGTGAGGAATATTATATCCGATATGATGAGGAAACTGGCACATTAATTGTCATTGGAACGAAGCACCGACATTTTTCACTAAAAAGTTTTACATATTTGAGTGGGCCCTACATGTGCATGAGAATTATATGGGGGAGAAAAAGCCACGACATTTATGGGTTATAGGCAGCATGAATACACTGTAAAACCTAAAAAGTAAAAGCCATCTGGTCTTGCTCCTATTGCTGCACTGTCAAAAATTTAAAAGAAAGACTGACAGAAAAGACATCACTTTTATACCCCACACTTAGAAAATGAAGAAGTAAAACTGAAAAGAAACGACATCTTTGCTTGTGAGGATAAAAAAAAGCCATCTGACATGTATTAATTGCAGTGAAAGAGTTGGCCCAAAAAAACAGAGTAAAATGGTTCTATGCTGAAAAGGAAATTAAAAATAGTACTATTATAATATCATATTCAAAGGTACAATGTCAAAAAATTTTTATTTCAATAGTTTTATTGTGTTGGGAGTTGAGAATTAGGATATATATTATTATATGTGAGTTTGTTTATTTTTATTCTCAAGTCATAGAATAATTTCTATATCTATTTTTATATTTATATTATTATATAAGTATATAATATTATTTTTAATTTAATTATTACGTCATCGGTCCAACCGATCCGACCGTTTGAATCATGACCCGCTAGGTTTTTCGGTTCAATATCTAGTTCGGCTTTTAAAACATTAGTTATAGCAAGGCTAAAAAACGGGATCAGGTGAAAAACTAGTTAAGGTAATGATTTAAAAGTTAATTGGCCAAACTAGAATCAAACTAGTCATATTAAAATAATATAATTTAATTAAAATTAAATAAAATACAATAACATTAATTATTACTAATAAAAAAATACAAAAAAATATAATAATGAATTGACTATGATAATAACAAAGTATAATAACATTGAGAATATTTATCTTTACAATTTTTCAATAATTAAATGTGTAGGCTGGTTTTATCTGTTTTATTTTATTTATTTTTTAAAAAATACTTCTCAATTATCTTAAATTTTCACGAGCACTGGATTTCTCTTTCCTCCTTATTCTTTGCGAAATGTAAATTGCAAAGTGTCGATTTTATAGAGAACTGGAAATGATAATTTAGATCGTGAATTGAATTGCCACTTGTGATCTGTGATTATGTTGTGAACCGGAATATGTAAAAAAAAAAAAATTAATAATTTGCAAATTTATCTTTGTAAATTATGGATGCGGAAATATGTCATTTACAATCCACTTTTATTCAAGAGATCAGAAAATCTAAAGACACATCTAAGAGGAAGGGTCCCTTTATTCATTGAACAGAGCAAGCCTGGGGGCGAAGGGGAGAAAGACAAAACCAAACTGTCATAATAAATTTGGATCTTCTGAAAAAGTTCACCTCCAAAGTAGATAGAGGGAGAGGGAAAAGTAGATTTCACCTGTGCTTATATATGTCCGACAGAATCGAAGGTCACTCTTCTATTTTATCTGCCTCTATTTCACCCTCTAAAATATGAAATGCTTCCAGGGATCCAAATTTAACTACTATACAGTGTTTCATCAAGATTTTTGAGAGGTCGGCATTGCCAAGTTAATTCTGCTGCCACCAGCAGAATCCTTCCATTGCTGAGTCACTGTTTTAATCTGAGTATAAAAGTTAACCCCAGCCTTCCCTGTAGTTCATTCAAACCACGAAACACAAGCTCAGTGATGTTGTCTAAATCATGAACAATCTGTAACTAATAAAACTTAAGTTGAAAAGAAATGAAGTGGGGATGAGGAAGCTTTGGATTGGAGGTAAACTGTTTACCATAGAAATTGAGATCTCCGGCAAATGATGCCTTGTTGCCAGTAAATGAGAAAAAGGGCAATGGAACTGGAATCGGAACATTGATGCCAACCTGGTTTCAGCACAGGACAAGTCATGATCCACAAGAATATCTTATATCAGTTATTTTCATTTACAACAAAACCTAGGCACATATTTATCATGTTCAATATTAGGTTTGTCAATTAAAACATGACAGATGTTTAGACTCCAACATAATATGACTGGGTTTCTCAAAAAGCTCTCTCAAGGTATTTTTGTTAAAGACCTTACTAATAAACACGCAAGAAAAAGCTTGAGTCCTCTCCTTTCTATTGGTGGGCAAGACGACACACCCAAAACTAAAATACAGGTTACTTGGTCGGTAAATACTGCGAAATTTCATATACTGGTCAAAATCCCTCGCTGCTATTATATTTTCCTTCTAAGGCATTTTTTGTGTTACCCAGTGAAGGTTTACCTTTTTTTATTAGGTTTATTTAGTCTAAATCCACAAAAGTTAACAAATACGCAGGCTAATTATTTAAAATAATAAACTCATTGCCTCTCAATCTCTTCAACATCTCTTGGCCAGTTGAAAAGAGCCAAATACATAACAAAATTACTACCTTCCAAGAACTAGTCCATCAAGTAACTAATTTTCAAGGATAAAAGGTATTACTCCTAGTTCTTAACATAAGATCTAATTTGTTGTTCAACTAAATCTTATATAAAAGACTGGAAGTCGTATATAATTAATTGAGCTCAGGAGCAAATTGTTAGTTTAGTTGAGGAAAATTCCCTGCTTTATGTGCATAATCAGAAATTGCATCTAGAGTGACTCTACCTGTCCAGCTTCAATCTCGGTCTGAAACTTCCTTGCTGCAACACCAGATGTAGTAAATATAGAAGCACCATTTCCATATCTGTTGGAGAAGTCACCAGTAAGAAATGAATATTGTTCAACGGAAAATGATCACAAACATAAGAAACTTTTTAACACACTTGTTTCTGTTTACAATGTTTATGGCCTCTTCCAAACTGTCAGCCTGGAAAGACGAAAAGAAAATCATTGTATCAGCATGTTTCTATATAAAATGCGGGGCAAAAAGACTAACACAGCACCAAATATAATACAAGACAAGGGAAAAAAAGGGTGGGAAAAAACTTTTAACTTAAAGGAGTTTAAAGACAAGACAGATCACAAACGCACCTCCATGAAAAGAAGAACTGGGCCAAAAATTTCCTCCTGCGAAGGTCATTATAGAGCCAACCAGGTTTAAATTATATGTAAACTTTTCTACATTTCTGGACAGTTCAGGCTTTAAAGAAGATACCTTGTAGCACTCCATGTTCGCACCGACATCTGATAAGATGGTTGGGCCAATAAAATTGCCAGATTCATAGCCTGGAACCTACTTGCCACGCATGAGTAAACTGGTGAGCAACCTTCATTTTTTTAAGTGAAAAAGAGGGGAATCGTTATAAGGTGATAATCTAGAGTCTACTGAAAAGACCATGCAAGAACTCATCTATAGCTTTTCTGAAATATCTCCGCATTAATGTATACTTCAATGTGCCATTTTTCCTTTCCTTTTAGAAAGCTTCATTTATTAAATTTCAGGCTGGTGAAAGTCGAGGAGTGGAAGCAAGGACGATAAAAAACTACCATAACTCAACGGCTCATGATCAAACCAAATATATGGGGATGTCATAAGGCATTTCCCCTTTATATCTACGACCAAACAAATGAATTAAACACAATTATCATGAGATGTTTACCAGGTTGCCGATTAAAGGATGAGATTGCATTTCCTTTTACTTGTATTTATGGGGGATGAAATAAACAATTCTTCTTGGTTGCTTACTGAGTACTGACTTCTAATTAGATAAAAGGTTGATAGAGTTATTAGTTAGGAATTCATCCCAAAAACATCTAAAATAAAAAATTTCATATTTGAAACAGGTGAATAGGCTCGTGGTCAAGTCACCATGCAGTTGACACTAATTGCTCTTAAAAAATGAGTACTACTCGTCCAGATATCTACACTGGTCAACATAGCTTTGTAAAGTATTCCACCAAATTTTTATTGTTTCTCTTGTATTTTACTTTATATTATTTTTTTCTTACTATTTACTTTCTAGTAGAGCTCAGCAGGTGAAGGGAAGGGCCGTGTTGAAAATAGATTACTCCAATCAGAGTATTTACTTAAATTAATCTTTCAGCTGCCTGAGTTTCCAACTACTTCTGGTAATGAAAAAGATTGACGGTGTTATGCTGATCATACATGCAAAAGTAAGTAAATGTGTAATAAACACATGAAAATACAACTAGTCAAGGATTTGGAAGCTACCACTAAATTTCTTCCATCAAGCAGCAGTCTGGCCCCACTTTCAACACCAGATTGAATTAATTTGTGTATGCGCTCCTTTGCCTGTGGAAGCAGTAATAATGTCACACAAAAAGCTAGAACTATACAAACGATCAATGTGAAAAAGAGGCTCATCTAGAAACCATGTCAGTAATGCTTACAAGTTATTCTGATGATTTGTGATTATGATGTTTAGGCTTTTTTCCCCCCTTTTTAGCCAATTATCGGGGATGTTTAGCTCAAAATTCAAATCCACTATGTGGAGTGAGTACATGTAAAACCTCATACAAACCTGTTTACTGATGACTGGACCAAGGTCTGCATCTGGATCAGTTCCAACACTCGTTTTGAGTGCATTGGCACGCTCCGCTAATATAGATTCCCTGGAAAGATATTATAAAGGCTGCAATTATACCCAAATTCCAGATGCCTCAATAAATAGAAAAGACTGCTAGATTGCTAGTGGCTTTAGGAGCTAAAAAGAGTTGGAACACATTTTCCACAGACATCATCACAACAAGTTCAAATACGTGGACCTGGCTATCCTCTGACAAATCCCCTCACGGTTACAGAAAGGCATGGAAATAATAAGTTGCTAACTTTAGAAATGTGAAATCATGTTTTAGTACAAGGTAAATTAATAGAAACGATACAACCAGGCAGAGGCCAAAGACTTGCTTTAAATCTTGTGGCCAAGATTTAATCACAAGTATAAGGTGCTGTTGAAGTTATAATCATGAAATAAGTTTAAGAGAATACGAAGCAAGATACCATGGTTTTGATCCTCCAACAAAAACAACTGTGCTGAGAGCCATACACCTTTGTCCTGCTGCACCAAAGCCAGCAGCAACTAAAGCGTTCACAGTAGCATCAACGTTGGCATCAGGCATGACAATTGCATGATTTTTTGCTCCCATATTAGACTGAAAACAAGAGTTCATTAAGTTTCCAACCCAAGTTGATTTCATATCATATCATGTGCATGAATAAACAATCTCTCTAAGGAAAAAGAAACCCCAGTGATGAACTGCACTTACTTGAACACGTTTTCCTTTAGCTGATGCTCTTGAATATATATGCATTCCAGCCTTAAAAATAGAAAAGGATGATCAGATGAGCATACAATGAACACAAGCATTCTCATGAAAGAAGCATTTAAACAGGTTTTATCCTTGGATTAGCAAATAAAATTTTAAATGTCCAAAGAGAAATGAAAATTTTAAAACTTCATAATACTTTATTAGCTGTCCCTTGCTTTTCCATCCATCCAAAGAAGAGAACTTATGACATTTTCAAAAGTTCCCCTTATTTGTTTTCCCTTGATCAAAATGGAACTTTAGTTGAGGTTCATATAAAGAGGCATCATAAAAGAACTGGACTGGAATAATAAATTCATGAGATCACTTACAACATTTGAACCAACAAAAGATACAGCTTTGATGTCGTCGTCATCACAAATAGCATTTACAATACCCTGGAACCAATTGGAAAGATAACAAAATTATCCAATCAGAGTGGCATTGAAGCATAATAGTAACTAGTTGTTTCCTCTGGAATAATAATTTTAGAATTCGTTCATTGATTTTTCATTCAAATACTCAACATTTGAAATAATAATACATCCAACTTCTTGTTTAAACCCGTAACTAGTTGCCTATAGGACAAAAAGTTTTAGAATTTGTTAATAGAGTTTTCCTTCAAATACCCAAGGTGTGAAACAATAATTCACTCAACTTCTAGTTAAAATTTAGAACATCTTCATGGTTATATTAAAATAATCCAAGTGAGCATGTGAGTACTTTCATCGAGATGTATCAAAAGAAACAGGTCAGGAACAGAAGTTAAATGAATCAATGACAACATACATTGGTTCCGTGAACAATATTCAAGACGCCTTCAGGCAGACCAGCCTCCAATGCTAATTCTGCAAGCATTACAGCAGCACCTAAAAAAGCACCAAAGTCATGATATGGTCATATAGTTCCAACTACAGCAAACAATTATCTGTATGCCATAAGAAACCAAAGATGATAAATCATAGAAGTGGATGCATGAATGCATTCTTGTGATTAGGGACAGTAGTGTGCCAGCAACCAACAGTCACTTTTTCAGGATATAGGAAACATAATCCACTATTGGATGAATAATTATGACCACACCTATAATTGATACTGAAAATCTAATATGGACTTCTCAGACAAACAGGAACATGAGAATCTCCCTCCAAACAAATTCGTAAATGTTCAGCGATCAAAAGTAAAAAGATTATCCATGGAAGGTAAGGAAAATAGCCACTGTCAATGCACATGAATTTGTCCCTTAGGTATCATTAGCCTTATTTTTCATGTTAGGGTGATGTTTAGAAAACACGCATTCACAGTTATTACATAAGCATCGATCATAACAGGTACAGACAGAGAAGCTTTTATTATGTATTACGTAGTATTTAATTTAATTATTTAATCAATGTGATATACCTAATGTATTGCAGCAAGCCATGCTATTTATAAGCTATAAATAATGTGGCCCATTTCTTAGACTCTTCGCATTGCACGGGAGAACATATCTAGTCAGAATTGAAAAATATTATATTTAGTAAAGACCATTGACAGCATTCCATGTCCCTAGCAATAAATTTTTCTTAGTGAAGTTCATAGCCAAGAAAATTATATCATCTACTGATTCCAAAACTCAGATTAACTTATTTCAAGAAAAGCCATGAGAATAAAAAGCTTTAAATTGATGAAAAGGTCATTGTAAGTGAAATTTCAATTTATCATCAATGATGTGATGAGTTAATTTAAGGTAATAACATACGACAAACCAAAGTAGAAAAATCACCTGGATCTTTTTCTGATGGCTTTAGAACGAAGGTGTTCCCACAAGTAACTGCCACTGGGAACATCTGCAGTTAGATAATTTAAATCTGGAATTTGTCACTGAGTAGATTTAATGAACAGAATGACAACTGTTGAGTGAAATGCAATATGATTTACGTTAAATTCCTTTGATGACTAATAATGATATGGATTAATATTTATTAAGCTATTATCGAAGGTGATGTGTTTGGGCCATCCATACATTGCCACATTGTGCATGCTAACAGGGATGACAAACCTCTGCATAAAAGAAATAGATGTACCACCCAAATCTCAAGATCACCTAATAGCCTACTACACGCCAATAAGTAGAGTTCAGCTTACCCACAAGGGAATCATTGCAGGAAAGTTGAAAGGACATATCCCAGCACAAACACCAAGTGGCTCTCTAATGCTGTACGTATCAATTCCATGCGATACATTAGAAACATACTCCCCCATTTGTAAAGTTGCCATCCCACAAGCATGTTCCACCACCTCTACAAGACAATTAAAGTTTGAGAGAAATTCATAATCAAATTATGAGTTTAATCATTTTCTCAATACATTAACTTCTACAGAAACAAATGGACAGGCTAACCTAACCCACGGAATACATCTCCTTGTGCATCCTTCAATGTCTTTCCTTGTTCGGTGGTAACGTTCAGAGCGAGTTTATCCTAAAACAGTTGCAAAGTATTTATCAGCAATGTAATCTCATCATCGGAAAAACTCTTACAGGTATGGGTGGCAGTGTAGCTGTTGGGGACACATTCGTGAATGAACAAAGTAACAAAAAATCTTATTATGCTTGCCATATCTCTGCGTATAAGCTCCTGGAATTTCAGCATAACACGTTGGCGAGTTGTGACTGGAGTATTACGCCATGATGGAAAAGCTCTTTTAGCTGCAGATACTGCGGCTTTAAACTCTTCATCTGTAGTCAAAGGAAGTTGTGACACAACTTCTTGTGTTGCCTATTATCAACGTTAACATCATCAGAAATTTGCCTTCCTCAAATCAACAAAGAAAACTATAAGCTCAATATCCCACACTCTTAAAAAATGAAAACGACACTTACAGGGTTTATCACATCGATGAATGTAGATGATTTCGAGTCAACAAAACTGCCCCCAATAAGATTTGGAACCCTCTGATGCAATACATTAAGAAAACGATGAAACTTCTCCGAAATAGAAGCATTCATCTTAATGCTACCACAGTTTCATGCATATAAATCCAAGTCAGCCAGATTCAGTTCTACTTTGAACCTTCTTATGACAAAGTGAAATTATTTGTGGGCCCCCAGCAAATAATATTATATTTTCATTATGATAAAGAAGAAACAAAGCAAAATAATCAACTTAGAATTAGATTTGAAGCTTAAAAATTACCTTTCACGAAGGTGCAAGATCATTGCAGCAGGAGCAAGACAACATATATCCTGTTACTCGTTTAGATATTGCTAAGTTGTCCTTAGATTATTACACAATGGAAGTTGGATACAAATAAAAGGGAAAACAAAGATTTCCCGCAGATTCATTCTAGGGGGTGTTTGGTTCACTCCAAAAGAACAAAGTGTTTCCATGCAAGTCAAGACAAAGCTCCTCTCACATAATTACTTGCTTCGTATATAGCAAACTTTTCACCTAAACACCCCCTTAATGATAGTTCACCAGAAAAGCTTAGAACTCAGCATGACGCTCCATTGTATTTTCAAGTGCCAAGTAAGCTTAAATATAGTCATGAGGTTCTTC